ACAGCTTCTCTGGGCAGTTTTCTCCACACAGTTCATCAGGATCTCAATGACAAATGTTCACAGATGAAACTCTCTTGTCCCTCCAGGTCCTGCCCTGCTGCTCACCAGTGACAACATCAAACAGAGACTGGGTTCTGCTGCGCTCGACAGGTACCTGCCCTCGTTGTTACTGGGGGAAAGTGCAGAAAGACTCTCTATTGGTCTCAAATATAGAGAGTTTGGTAATAAAACCCTGTGTTCTGACATGCTTTGGGCTTTCTCATCCAAGTGTTGGAGACAGTTAATGCCATGAAGCTGTGTCAGGGCAGGCTCAGGGTGGATCTCAGGGCAAGGTTCTTCCCCCAGAGGGTGGTTGGCACTGAACAGGCTCCCCAGGGCAGTGGGCACAGCCCCAAGGCTGCCAGAGCTGCAGGAGGGTTTGGACAACGCTCTGAGGGACAGGGTGGGATTGTTGGGGTGTCTGTGCAGGGCCAGGAGCTGGACTGGATGATTCTTGTGGGTCCCTTCCAGTTCAGGATATTCTCTGATTCTATGAACAATGTTTGAAAAGTATTTGGTTCAAACATGTGTGGGTTTTTTTTCCATTGTCACTTTATCACTTGTGAAATTGGAAAAGCTGAATTGCTCCAAGTGGTCACTGTGTGCTCATTCTTAGGGATGCCATGGAAGCTTTAGTGAAGTGAGGCATCACTGCATCCTCCTGCCTTGGTGTATGTGTGTAATGGTATAAATACTGCAGAAACAGAGCCAGCAGGAGCCTGGAGATGGGAGCAGATAAGATCCTTAGACTGGCTGAGCAAGAGGGCAGGTCTCTGCCCTTCAGATTTTCACAGAATCCCAGCATAGGCTGAGCTGGAAGGGACCCACAAGGATCATCGAGTCCAACCCTCAGCCCTGCACAGGCCCATCCCCAAGGGTCACCCCCTGTGCCCCAGAGGATCATCCAAACCCTCCTGGAGCTCTGGCAGGGTTGGTAAGACATGTAAGATTCCTCTCTTTCCTCTCAGGAGTGGTGAGCTAACCCCATTTGTGTTGTCCTGCTCTGTCCCAGTCTCCATGAGTACAGGCTGACCAGCTGGCTGGGCCAGCAGGAGGACATCCACCGCATCGTGCTGTACCAGGCTGACAGCTCCCTGACCCCCTGGACCCAGCGCTGCATCCGCCAGGCCGACTGCATCCTCATCGTGGGGCTGGGGGACCAGGAGCCCACCGTGGGAGAGGTGGGCAACACCCCTCTCTGCACCCCTGGCAGCCCAGCTCAAAGAGTGCTGCCCCACACTCGTGGGTTTGCCCGGGTTTTAATGCCCAGCAGAGAGTAAATAATGGAATATTCCTGGGAAATGTGTGCTAGGAATGGGAAAAGACTTGCCTGAGAAGCCCCTTAAAGGTCAAGTTTTATGGAGGAGTGTTTCCAGCAAAGTTCTTTTCCTCTGAAGAGTCATTTTGGCCAATGGTAAATCAAAAGTAAATTGATTTGAAGCTTTGAGTTTCTGCCCAGAATTTCTTTGCGGGGTCTCCACGCAGAGAGAGAGAGAGAAATTCTTTTCTGCCTGGATGAAATTCATGGTGTGTGCTCAGGAAAAAGTAGATCTAAATTGCAGTGTGTGAATAATTTAATATATTTTATTACAGCTTTTAAGCTGTAATTTTTTTTCCTTTACTATCTATTTTTATTATTTTTATGTTTTATTACCCAAGTTTGACCAGGCACATAAATTCTGCGAGAAATTTAAAAATCACAAGTGGGGGTTTTTTTTAGGACTGTGAAGTGCTGAGTCTGACTCCACAGAGCCTGGACAGGTCCCACGTGAAGCCTTCATGTGCATCCCTCCGTGCTGGTTCTTTGTGCCTGGGTGTGGGAGGCAGGAAGCACAGGCACAGCAGCTGCCAGCAGTTGCCTAAAACAACAAAAAAATCAAAATCAGACATACAAGGAGGAAAAAAAGTTGGGAAGGGAAAGAGGGAAACACGCTGAACATTTGTAGGCTTGGGTATGGCTTGGGAAGCGTCTCACGTTGCACGAGGAGTGTGTGTCTGCACGTGCATTTCATGGCCTGCTTTGGGTCCAAAGCATTTAGGTTTGAATCTTGGAGTGCCAGAAGTCTAAAATCAGACCAATCAGTTGTCTGAATCCATCATGTTTGGGGGTTCTTGGTGTGCAGAGCTGTCTGTGGGTTCAGGTGAGAATGGGGGGGTTTGTGTCTCATACCTGTTACCCTGATACTGGAGCAGTCAGTACCTGACCCCCCATTCCTCTGTGTCCATAACCTGCTGTAGTTGGAGAGGATGCTGGAGAACACTGCAGTGAGAGCCCAGAAGCAGCTCATCCTGCTCCATAAGGAGGATGGGCCCCTCCCTTCCCGAACTGTGGAATGGCTCAACATGCGGAGCTGGTGTTCTGCTCACCTCCACCTCCACTGCCCACGCAGAGTCTTCTCCAAAAGGAGTCTGCCCAAGCTGGTAAGAGATTCCTGATTTGGTGGCTGGTCCCTTGCTGTCCCTCACTTCACCTGCAATCCACGTATCAAAAGGGATCTGGGATAATGATGCTCCAGGATGTCCTGATGTGCAACGGGCTCTTACACAGCCAGTGTTGTCTTTAGATCTGTTTGGCCTCAGTTTAATATAGGAAACAGGGTTAAGGGGCCCATGGTTTCTTTATGGATGCATACTTGGCTTTTTGATATCCTGAAGACAGTAAATGCTATCTCAGAGTCACATTGAAAGGTCTGTATGTGGCACAGGGTGCTTTCTGTTGGGAGGATCCCTGTGCTTGCCAAAGCCATGCCAAGAATAAGGCAGAGGTAGCCTGGGGTGCTTCCCAGGAGCTTCAAATCTTTGTCAAGAAAGAAGCAGCTCCAAAGGAAATAACTCCCAGCAGCTGTGGAAGATTTTTAAGAGATGCATCTGATCACGAGAACTGTTTGGGTAGTTTATTGACCCTCTGTTCCCTTGAAGAACAGATACCCACTTGGAACAGAATCACATACAGGTTCAGGCTGGAAGGGACCACACTGGGTCATCCAGTGCCACCTCCCTGCTCAAGCAATCACTCAGGATTGTGCCCAGATGGTTCTGGAATATCCCCAGTGAGGAGACTCCACACCCTCTCAGGTCTCTGTTCAGTCACTGCACAGTGAAGAAGTTCTTCCTCGTGTCCAGGTGGAACTTCCTGGGCATCAGTTCTTCCTGTTCCTCCTGTGCCATTGCTGGGCCCCCCCAGCAGAGCCTGCTCCATCCTCTGCCCCCTCCCTGCCGGCACTGACGGACATGGATGAGGTCCCTCCTCAGTCTTCTCTTCCCGAGGCTGAACAGCCCCAACTCCCCCAGCTTTCCCTCACAGGAGAGGTGCTCCAGTCCCCTCATCTTTGCAGCACCTTTTACCAGGATGTTGTTGGCTGACTGTCCTCTGCCTCTCCTCTGCAGATAGAGATGTATGAGCGGGTGTTCCAGAAGCCACCGGACCGTCACTCCGACTTCTCCCGCCTGGCCCGTGTCCTGACCGGGAACGCCATCGCGCTGGTGCTTGGGGGTGGAGGGGCCAGGTAGGTGACTTATCTTGGGCTGGGTGGGGCTTGGAGCAACTTGGTCTAGTGGAAATGGTCCCTGCCCGTGGTAGGGGGCTGGAACTGGGTGGCCTTTAAGGTCCCTTCCAACCCAGAGCAGTCGGTGCTGGTTCGTTGCTGCCAGACCCGAGAGCTGCACTGGCACTGGGCTGTGACACATCCTCAGGGTAACAGGCATCCTGTGCTGCAAACAACGTTTGGGGGTGAAGCTTAATGTGCTGGGGGGCTTTGTGCTCGGTTTCTGCAGAAGGAACAGGAGTGTTTGTGACCTCCTGAGACCCCTCATAAGTTGGGTTTAATACCAGGAGGTGACCAGGGCACCGAACATGATTCTTCTTTCTGTTGGCCTACACCGTGGATTTTTTCCTCTATGGATTCTTATATTAGAAAATGTTTCAAAGGCCCCCAAAGCTCTTCCAAGTTGGAGCAGTAAGAGGAATTATTTCCTCTAATAGAGACTGTTCTTATCTGTATAATCCCCCAAGCCCTCAGGTACCCACACTTTGACAGCCTTACCTTGCAGAAAGAGCGTGTTTTTGCAGGCACAAGGACATGGTGTGTGCTGAACACTCCATTAGAATTCCACCTGAATCCCCAGTGAGCTTTAGAAATAAATCATTGCTGGCATTTTCCTTTGGAATCTCCTTTTACTTTG